CAAAATTTGTTGACATTAAGATTATTTCTAAGAGCATTAAATAAGAGTTACTCATTCATGTATAAACCCTGAAAAAAGAAACAAAAACAACTGCAGTCTTATTACTTATTTCAACTGCATAATATCTATTTATCTTATTTTAAGAGTAAAAAAAGTAATTCCATTGGCAGATCATGTTATTTCCTATTCGTATCAAGGGTAAATACACTTATTTTAAGACATTTTAACTCATTTTCAGAACATTTTTGCAGTGTAAGCAAACAGCCGCCATAGCATTTTTGCATCACCCCAGTGTTAGTCACAGTGTATGTTATTATGTAGTTATAATTGCTGTTACAAACTGTACTTTACCTTCATTTCTATTTATTTAGTAACATTACCTATTTTAATACGGCATTTCACTGAATGGGGAAAACACGAATAAAATGTCTATATATATGTTTTATTTATGTATTTCACAATAGACAGGTGTTTAAAGCTGTTATCTACGAAACCTTCCTGTTATCTGCTGAAAACTAAGCTCTCTTTTTCTTTTAAGTTCCTTAATCTATTTCCAGGCTTGTCTTGAAATTATACACACTTAAAAAAACAATGCTAAAGTATCATTAAATAGCATCATCCACACCAGAGAGGCTTGATCTAAAAAACCCACCTGATGCTTATAATTAAATTTGATCTCAGTATTTGAAACTGTACCGACCCCCCGTTTGATAAAAATGTTGCATCACTCCCTCAAACCCTTCACGCAAATAAGTAAAATGTGCAAATAATGCAGCCATATTGCCCACGTTGCCAGTTTTTTGTCACCCTTTCCAAGATTCCTTCCTACCTACCTACCTACCCACCTACCTACCTGCCTGCTACCTCTTTGCCTGCTTGCTTTTACCACCTGCTTTGCCATTTATATGCATGTAGTTCTAATGGGGTGATTTGCTTTAACAGCTGGACCAATCCAGTCCCTGAATCAATCAGTCTACCAAACTTGTCTGATGTCATGTGTGACCACATTTCATTAGAGTGTGGGTGTGTGGGTTCACTTGCACAGAAAAAAAAAAAAGGAGCTGGGGAGATATTCTGAAATTGTCACGTGGATCATGTTTGCTCTCTTTTTCTAATTGGGTACAATTTCTAATTACGGCCAATTAGTGTGAAAATGCCAAGCTGGAAAAGAAGGTGGCTTCCATTTGTTGGCTGCAGTTAGAAACTACCTCTCCATGCACATTGCTGCTGGTAGGTGTCCCACCTTTTGATTGATTGCTGCTGACCGGGCACTGAGGCGAATGTTGAACCTGAATCAGACACGCTATTTTTAAACCAGACTCAAAAATTCTTTTTGTTTTCAAGTTTCTTTTCATTCCTGACGGTATGAAACTGATCATGTGAAGCTGTATGTTCAGGTATTCATACCGCTTATACTTGACGACATCAAAACATCTGATTTCAAGTCTTTTTATTGGGATTTTATGTGACAAACTAACACCAAGTAGCTGATAATCATGAAGTGGATGGAATATTATGCATACAGTGGTTCCTTAAGTGTCAGGTGCAACCCCCTAGAGGGGGCCCAGGGTAACTGCACTAAAATGAATTGAATAAATTACTTGATTTTAGTGCTATTTAATTAAAAAAAAATTGATCAGGGCTTAAGCAGTTAATCAGGTTAAAAATGATTTGATTATTGAAATAATCATCAAATTGTTATCTGGAGAATAGAAAAAACAGATCTATAACATGCAGCTCTGGAGCCGCATTTGGCTCCTCAGATCCTCTCTTAATAAAGAAAAATAAAAAAATATAAAAATACCAGTTTTAGGAGCTTAATTGTTTTCTATAAAAAAATATTTGAATTCTTTTTTCAACACAGAATGTCCTTGAAAGACCCAGAAATATGTTTTTGGAGATTTTAGAACTGTTTGTATTTTTATTAGCTTTGAAATTATACATTTACTTGCTCTGCTATATCAAAAAATAATAATACCCTATAGAAGTGAATCCATTTGTCATATCTATTAATTGTTTTTAAAATACACATAAAACTGTTGTTGGGTTAAGATGGCAACAGACTTCCTATGGTGGCTATTTAATGCAAACAGTAGGATGCGTTTTATTAAAAGGACATGTAATATTTCAAAAAAGTTAAAAAACAAACCACTGGTCTTTGTGGTTTGAAGACGTTTCGCTTCCCATCCAGGAAGCTTTTTCAATTCAAAATGACTGGATTAGCATTGAATTGAAAAAGCTTTATAGAATAGCCCAGTAAAGAAAACATTCAAATTGAACGAAAAGAACAGGTCCACCCCTTAGGAATGGGGGTCATTGAGGTCTTTATAAGCCTGCAATACCCAAAACTGGTCTATGCCTCTGAAAAGGGGAGTCGTTTGGGTCGTCGTTGGCCTGGCTGTTCAGGCGAGATGTTTCGGCCCCCTGCATGGCGTTGAGGTTGAGATGATGGCGGGAAAGAATCAACTCAATCGCAACAAACAAGGCTTTGTTGCGCTGCTTTATAGACCCTGAAACTCAACGATCCATACAAAAATCCATACTAAACTAAAACATATATTAAAGGAAAAGTCCGGTCAGCGAGGAATAATCTGTGGATCATTATTTATACCTAAAACTAATATGTTCACTATGATTTAATGAATTTAGCATTATACTTTTCTTCATGATCACTGAGTCTGGGAGCGGCCATTTTTGCCCA